ACTGAAATAAGGATTCCCGGTTTGCCGTGTAAGTACACCCCCAGTCAGAAAACTTTAGAAGCATACCTAAATTCTTCGACATATGGGGACGGAAGTTCCTCATCCAATGCAGGTCTTACCTCTGTACAAGGCTGAACCAATTTTAGCAATTTTGATGAAATAATGGCTAAAATGCCTAACAAACTTCTTAGATTTAACAAAAAAGAAATACGTGAAGCTTCCTCAAAGAGACATACAATAACCAAAAAATAGAGATACAAAATCATAAAAAATTTAAACAAATAAGGCTACATTCAATATGCCACAACCCTATATTCTTTACCAAATTTGTTCGCTCACCATTTTTAGAAGTAACTGGAAATCGAAATCGATAAAAGTATCTCCATTGTCGTAAATGGACCAAAAGTTCATACAAAAAAATTTGGAATCACATAATCTACTTGATTTATGCCTATCATTGGCTTCAAAACCGACACCGAAAGCAAAATTGGCATTCTCGCAACAATAAAAGCTGATTTTTTTTTCACTCCTCGTACAGTTCGTCGTCTAAAATCGCCTCCACATCTACCATGGAAACAAGCAAAATTCAAAATGCGCCGAAAGAACAAGAAGCGAATTTCACAGAGAGATAGAGAAAGAAATAGCGAAAATTCACCTTTGGAAACGCATTGGATTTCGCCAGGAGGAGAGTTGAGGAGGAACCATTTCGCAATCTCCTTCTGCGTCTCGCTTAACTCTGTTTCTTCTTTGTCCACCATTTCTCTCTCTCTCTTCTGTGATTCGAACAGAAGTGAACCCTCGGCGAAGAGGAGAGAGAGAGAGGTGAAAAGCGGAATCACTTTAAAATTGGTAGAATTAATTAATTAATTAAAAGGTTTTAATTTAAAATTTATAATATAAGTCACGATACGATAACACGTCTTAAAAATAATATGAATTTTACGGGTTAAGGTTAAGAAAAAAAATATTCATGTCACAATTGAGTCAACCTGAAATTAATACGAAAAACACATATCACTTTCAGGTTGGACCCGCTTAACTCAAACACGACACGAAACTCGTAAAAACCTATAATATATATATATTTATTTATTTATTACATATTTTAGATTTTATTATGAATTTATGATGTCATGATATCTCAAAATTGTATACTATTATTCGCTTAACTTTCATGTATATTGTATTTTAGCGTGTTATGAATTTTAAATTAATTCTAATATATAATAAAAACTAAAGAAAAGTATATAATTTCATGTCAATTTCAGGTTCAAGGATTAATTTCGTATCATGGGTAATTTTTATGTCATGTCGTGTCAACCCGTAAAGTGGTCGTGCCGTGTTCGTGTTGCGGTTTTTTAAAAAATTCGTGTCACTGGTCGTGTTCGGGTTGATTGCAAATTTAGAAAGAAACGATCAAAACACAACACGTGATGTGAATTACCACCCTTATTTTAATTAATTATTAATTTTATTAGAGTTCAGAATTATAGGTCCATGAGTCCTCACGTCATCCTTGTTATTCTGCAAGACATTAATTGCAAAATGAGAATTTTAGAACTATAAAATTCTAAAATAAAACACTCAAAATTAATTAATCAAGAATTAATTAAATATTGAATAATGTGATTATTTAATTTAAATTTTGAAACACACATGTGATGGAGATCACAAGTGTCACACGCCTAGCACTGTAGGAATCTCTTTGGGATTCAGTTGCTTAAGCTCTAAGTTATCCAATTGACTTATTTGATTAGATATCCATTTGGAATTCAAATTAAATTAAATTTGACTTTAATTAGGAATTTAAATTTGAGTCAAAATTGGACAACTAGATAAATGAGAAATTTTGTTTCCTCCTTATCTTCAGTAGGCGCCAACCGCAAAGAGTTTGTCCCTGTGGTGGCCGAATTTTATCTAAAGTAGAAGAGAGAAAATTGTTCCAAAATTAAATGGGAATTTTATTTTATTTTAAATAGGATTTAAAATTAAATATTATCTCTTATTTTCTAAAACTTTATCTTAAAAGAGAAGATAGAGTTTCTCTAGGACTCTAAGAGGTACTCTATAAATAGGAGATTGTAGAAAATTAGAGAACGCAATTTTCTCCCTTCCCTTATGAGATAGGCGTGTAACGTGCTAGTTACGGGCGTGTAACATCTTATCAGAGAGTATGTTACATGTTAGTGACAGGCGTGTAACTTTTTCACTCCTCCCCTACAGGTGACGTGTAACATGCCTAATGTAGGCATATAACACGCAATTGGTTAGCATGTAACCTACTAAAGGTGGGTGTGTAACCTGAGAGGAAAAAAAAAGATAAGAAAAGTTCTTCCATATTCCCAGTTCTACGTCCTGCATGTGTTAGTGTTCGTGGAAGACTTGAGTGTTTTGAGTGCTAATCCTATTTTGTTTTAGGTGTGCCCACACACACTTCTTCGTAGATTTAAGGAATTGACGAGGAAGATTCAAGTATTCCAAACAAGCTTAGAGCAAGGAATGTTCGTTGTCAAAGAATTCAAGTTATCAACCTAATCGTTCGCTAGGTAAATTCATTCCTAAATTAATTTAATCGTACATAAATTAATGTATTCTTTAGAGTATCTCAAAGGTTTATTAAAATTTTTATCATACAAGATCCGCTAGATACACGTTTCTGCATAGAAAATCGTTTTCAAAACCAACAATTGATTATCAGGCTAAGATAGGAATAGAGACGCCAACACCTATTTTAAAAGCTTGCATTGGAGGTCGGAAGAATCTAGAGAGTTTGGGAGAGATTTTTGCACTAGAAGGGGAGTACAAGATGAGTGATTCTTTGTATATATTGGTGGTAGACGATTTTTGAGATGTGTTTGCATATGAGTTACAAGGACTTCCACCAGACAGAGAGATTGAGTTTTGCATAGATTTAGTCCCCGGTACCTCCCTTATTTCTATTGCTCCGTACCGCATGACACCTGCTGAGAAGGTTGAGTTGAGGAAGCAATTACAAGAATTGATGGAGAAATGGTTTATTCGTCCTAGTACATCACTGTAGGGAGCTCCTGTTCTTTTCGCAAAAGAGCATGATGGATCGTTGAGACTTTGCGTGGATTACGGTCAACTCAATCGAGTCACCATCAAGAATAAGTACCCACCGCACCACATTGATGAATTAGTCAATCAGTTAGGTAGGTCCCGATATTTCTCTAAGATTGACTTGCGGTCAGGATACAATCAGTTGAAGGTAAAAGAGGATGATGTTCCGAAGACGGCTTTCTGCACTCGCTACGGTCACTTCGAGTTTCTTGTCTTGTCATTCGGGTTGAACAACGCGCCAGCCGCATTTATGGACCTCATGAATAGGGTTTTCCTTCCGTATCTAGATCGATTCATCATTGTCTTCGTTGATGATATCTTGATATATTCGAAGATTCAAGAGGAGCATGCGGAACATTTGAGGATTGCCTTGCAGACTTTGAGGGAACCCCATCTATATGCCAAGAAAGAAAAATGTGATTTCTAGATAACCGAAGTAAAATTTCTTAGACATGTCGTTTCCCAAGAAGGCATATTAGTTGATCCCTCTAAGGTGGAAGCTGTGTTGAATTGGGAACGTCCGAAGAATGTGTTAGAGATCTGCAGTTTTCTTGGATTGTTAGGATTGGCGATTTATGGAAAATTTCGTGAGGATTGCATCGCCTTTAACAAGGTTGACGAAGAAGGATGTTAGGTTTGTCTGGGATGAAGAATGTGAGGAGGTGTTCATGGAGCTAAAATGTCGACTCACCAGTGCTCATGTTCTTATTGTCCCTAACAGTGATGAGCCATACACAGTGTTTACCGACGCTTCTAGGAATGGATTGGGATGTGTTGATGTAGCAAGGTCAAGTGGTAGCTTATGCTTCACGGCAACTTAAACCTCATGAGAAGAATTACCATATCCATGACTTAGAGTTGGCCGGAGTGATCTTTGCGCTCAAGATTTGGAGATGTTATCTCTACGGTGTGAAATTCGAGATCTTTACTGATCACCAGAGTCTCATGTACTTATTCACCTAACGAGATCTGAATTTGAGACAACGGAGATGGATAGAGTATATGGATGTTAGTTTTTCTGAGTATTCTTATTTGCAACTATTTACGCTACTAGACATTTTGCTATATGTTGCATGCCTTTATTAACATAACCCATGTCTCAATCATATTGGTTTATTATGCACTCTAATTTTACTATTCATCCTATATGACTCTATTGTATTTAGCCCTTACCAGTCGAGGGGTTCATGACCGTAAATATAGGTCTGGGAAATCAGATTACTAGAAAAAAAAACAAAAAACAAAAAAAAAACAAAAAAACAAAAAACAAATCATTTTACAATCCGGTATAATATATATAAATATATATATATACATATATTGTATCGCTAATTTACTCCATCAAACTTAGACCAACTGTATATCATTGCTCCAATTAGTCGATGGAATATAGACCCACATAACTAAGAGCCATATAGTTTCTCACATATAAGACATATATTTGAATAATTTTAAATAATTCAACGACTATATATAAGCTTTGAGCAACATTCTTCCAGCAAACTTTACCCTTTTAGTTTATTAAATGCTCTAATTTACAAGGTTTAAAAGTGAAAGTGTAAGCTGTATCTTCGAGCACAATGAAACTAACAAAAGCATAATATCATCCGACAATATCAAAGCTAATCAACGACAAGTCCAAAGGAGAATGAGAGAGACTGAAAACCTCATATTAATGAACTTGTCTTTAATATTGCCGTCTGACTCTTAACTCCTTTCCCTTTGTCCGTAAACCTCCAAAACTCTCACACTAAACTCCATTCAATTTACCCGTCACCCTTTTGTCCGTACTTCATCAACTACTTCTCTCTACTCCTTTTAAGCAGCTCGCAATGAACCATAAAAACACATCTTGAGGAAAAGGGAGCTACTAAAGGAGGACAAAAAGTGCTTCCTTCCCTGGCCTCCTCGTCATCATCATGGCAAATCTTGGCCGTTCAAAAACGAACTTGGAGAGCCTTATGGACAGGGACAAACCTGTGAAGAATGGTGTTCCGCTGCAACCTCGGAACATGATCCCTGGCCATGGCCTGGAGTTCAAGAACCTCTCTTACAGCGTGATAAAGAAGCAGAAGAAAGATGGTGCTTCGATCAAGAAAGACGTTTATCTTCTTAATGATATCTCTGGCCAAGCAATGAGAGGAGAAATCATGGCTATTGTCGGACCAAGTGGTGCTGGAAAATCAACATTTCTTGATGCCTTGGCTGGACGGATTGCTCAAGGAAGCTTAGAAGGTTCTGTTAGGATTGATGGAAAGCCGGTTAGCATATAGACTTTTCGTAGTATAATATTTTGATATGTCAATGTTAATTTCTGCTATCAGATGTTTCTAAATCATCAGATTTTCATCAAATTATATCATCACTTGTTCATTGTGTGATTAGCATTAGTATAATATCAGATGATATTCAGAAACATACATACCACTCATGAGCTGAGCCAAAAAGGCTCAGTGGGACTCAAGCCCCCACTCAACTATTTTTTCTATTGTGTATATAAATATATATTGTATTATTATATAAATAGCCTCATTAAATTTTTATCTTAAAATTTCCTGGCCCTGTTACTGATACTATCGATAGGTGTTTTATAATGCACAAACTCTGATAGATTAAGATAATTTTCTCTTCTATATTCTACTTCTCCTATCAAGAATTAAGTGTGTGCAATGTTGGTTTTTCCAGGTTACTACAAGCTACATGAAGAGGATTTCTTCTTATGTGATGCAAGATGACCAACTCTTTCCTATGTTGACTGTCTTTGAGACTTTTTTGTTTGCTGCTGAGGTTAGGTTACCACCTTCCATCTCCACGAATGAAAAGAAAAAACGAGTTCATGAGCTTCTAGACCAACTTGGCTTGCAGGTAACTTTTATCTTTCTTAGTTATATAATACATTTTGAACTTGGTGACGGAGTATATAAACAACAGATCTTCCTATTGTTACTACTAGAATGACTTGAATGAGAAAATACCAAAGAAAAAAGAAAACTCTTAGTTTGACCAAGATTAGTTTTCACACATGTACATAAACCTTCATCTTATAAACAATTTTACTTAGTATTGTCCCGGTTGTTGTCGTTAAAATGAGGTAGCATTTTTAGGGAGGTAGACTGGAAAGGAAACATCAATTTAGAGAGAGAGAGAGAGAAGAAGAAGAAACAGATTTCCACTAGGTGATCACCATGCTTGTAGCAGCATGTCAATTTGTAGTTTAATTTGTACGTAACGTGAAAATAATATTGATGATATATGCAGAGTGCAATACATACATACATTGGTGACGAGGGAAGGAGAGGAGTCTCAGGAGGAGAAAGGCGCAGAGTTTCCATTGGAATTGACATCATCCATAAACCATCACTGTTGTTCCTTGACGAGCCAACCTCTGGACTGGACTCAACAAGTGCTTACAGTGTGGTGGAGAAGGTTAAGGACATAGCTCGAGGAGGTAGCGTTGTCCTTATGACCATCCATCAGCCTTCATTTCGCATTCAAATGCTGTTGGACCGAATCACAGTCCTTGCAAGGTATTAATTAGCGTAATTCGCCATGTAAAACCAGTAAACCCTCTAGAGTTCTTGCCTGACATAAACATGCTCATAATGAAAATCTTTTAAACTGTTTGATTCATATTGGATTCCGTAATATATATGTTTATATACACTTTTTCTTTTATATTAAATAAGCAGAATTTGACATTCAGAAACATGCATTGTCATTAGATTTTTGCTTGCCACCAAACTCTTCTATAAGCATCTAGACAAAATCGTGAAACAAACTGTACAATTCAAACTCTCAATTTTAAACAGATTGTATTGTGCACCAAAGCAAACTTAAAATTTTCATTGCATTTATTGTTCTCTTTGTATGTTCATATAGCTTTTGTAGTGAAGTTTGTTATTCAAGGTGTTGTGTTCTAATTTCTTTGAAGATACAAAGTTGTGTTCAGTGCTGGAGTCTTATCTCAGTTAGACTTGGAAATTTGACTTCCCCGTAAAGTTTTCTAAATCTTCAATTGTACCCTCATTTTATATATAAAATAATATATATAATTGCATCTTTTCCAAGTAATTGAAATATGAAGGAAAAATTAGCACTAACGTTTTCTTAGTGTCCTACCATAAAAACTTCTCTGAGTCTGCGACAGGTTGCGTTTATGAACACTGATTTTATTTTATTCTTTATTTTTTCAAAAACAAAAAGAAAAAAAAAAAGGTCCTAATCTCACTTCTGCAGAATATGTAATAGTTGTGAAGACCACTGAGCATGTGTCTATTCATCTAATTTTTATGGCAGGGGAAGATTGATCTACATGGGTAGCCCTGTAGGACTCCCTGCTCACCTGGCCGGCTTCGGGAGACCAGTCCCAGAAGGCGAGAACAACCTCGAGTATCTCCTGGATGTCATCAAGGAGTACGACGAATCAACCGTGGGACTAGAGCCCCTTGTGTTGTACCAGCGTGATGGCATAAAACCTGGTCAAGTAGCAAGAACTCCAATGCCGAAGCCACCTAAAACCCCAAGACTAACACCTTACAGACAAAGCACCCCCGCTTCAAAGCACATGATCAGCCTTCGCAGCCAAGGTTTCTCCTCGTCCGGCAACATGACACCTCGACTGGACTCCTTTGGGCAGTTCAGCTACAACGAGGACGATGATGAGGATGTGGACTTCGACAACTCCTTGGAGCGCAGAGCATCTCGTACTCCTATGTTGCAAAGTGGGGTTTATAACGCCAATCCTCGTTTGGCTTCTCAATTCTACAGGGACTTTTCTCTTTGGGTTTACCATGGTGTAAAAGGAACACCGCGTCGTCCTCCATCGTGGACACCAGCAAGAACACCGGGACAGACACCGGGGAAAATGCCATTTTCTGGTGCAAGAAGCTTCATCTCAGGCCAGTATCCAACACCCCAAGTTAACCATTCTCGAGCTAGAACCCCTTCAGCCTACAATAGCTCCTCCATTGATACTTACTTACCTTCATTCAATGAATACGAAGAATACGAGGTAGAAGAAGAACTCGATGAGCCCGATTTAGGGCCAAAATACTCAAATCCATGGCTCAGAGAAGTTGCAGTCTTGTCATGGCGATCAGCTTTGAATGTCATTCGAACACCAGAGCTATTCCTCTCGCGAGAAATAGTACTGACAGTAATGGCACTAATTCTCTCGAGCCTTTTCAAAAAGCTAAATCAGAACACTTTCAAGGACATCAACAAGCTTCTTAACTTCTACATCTTCTCAGTCTGCCTAGTCTTCTTCTCCTCAAATGATGCGGTTCCAACCTTTATCCTCGAACGTTTCATCTTCATCCGAGAGACTTCACACAACGCTTACCGAGCCTCATCATACGTGATCTCGTCACTCATTGTCTACCTCCCCTTCTTCGCAATTCAGGGCTTAACTTTTGCAGTCTTGACAAAGTATATACTTGACCTCCGAAGCAACCTCTTCAGATTTTGGATAATCCTCTACGCTTCTCTCATCACCACCAATGCTTATGTCATGCTTATTAGTGCTCTTGTGCCGAGTTACATCACCGGTTATGCTGTCGTGATCGCGACTACCGCTCTGTTTTTCTTGACTTGTGGGTTCTTCTTGAAGAGATCAAAGATTCCTCCTTACTGGAGATGGCTTAATTATGTCTCTGCAATCAAATATCCGTTTGAGGCACTGTTGACGAATGAGTTCAAAGGGACAAGATGCTACAACGGGTTTCCTCAGGATCTCTCTCCGGGTGCTCTTGGAGATGTGAGGATCAGTGCTTTGCACAATGACACGTTACTACAACCACCATGCATGTTGATCGGAGAAGATGTTCTGTTCACGATGGATATTAAAAAGGAGAGCATTTGGTTGGATGTTGTAGTTTTGCTTGCTTGGGGTGTTCTTTACCGGCTGCTTTTCTATGTGGTGCTCAGATTCTATTCCAAGAATGAGAGGAAATGAGGTTTAGGAATATCCATTTGGCTAGCTCCTTAGATTTGCTTCCAATTTGGTTTGTTCCAAGCTTTTTTCTTTTAAGTCTCTAAGTGCTATACTTGATACATATCTTATAAATATTTATGAAATCCAATGATCTTTCTAGATCTAATTAACTGGTAAGAAGAGTGCTTCTCTAGCAATAAAACTTATTCTTATGCTTATTTCACGCGGTGCTTAAGGACCCATTTATTGTTGATTTAAATTTTTAATTCGAGTTGAGATGTGATTTTATATGAGAGTTTTTTACTGTAATAAAAAAGTTAAATGTGAATATTTCTGATAACTTTTTACTATAACAAAACTCGAATTCTAAACTCAAATCGATAAAATAAACAGAACTTAAAAGATGTTATTACTATTTAAATGTACAAATATCGCATGTGTACTCACGAGTGCACGAGTCATAATAAGTGATTTGTGTGTACTCACAAGTGCACGAGTCATAAGTAATAAAATAACAAAAGTCAAAGTATCGTGTCACAAGATTGAATTTCTAAAAATGAAGGTAAGTACTATGAATGAGAGGGCTGATGTGGGGATATGGACTGAACAAGGACAAAACAAAGTATTTTTCAAAGTAAATGGAACGATGACGTCTTGATGAAGAAGCAAGAAAAACTTTAGAAGCGCACAGAAGATTAAACGGGAAAGAGAATCATCGGGATTGAACTTAATTAAAAGCTAAAGTGGAAATGAACTTCAGGGCAGGAACTCAAGATAGAGGAGTAGAAATCTGTAAATACCTGTACCACAATGAGAAAGGGATTTTTCGCTATTTTTAACAATTTCACTAGAATTTAGAGAGAGAAAGTTCCGGTGAGAGAAAAATGTCAATTCTTGAGAATTCTGTGAGTTTTGGAGTTGAAGCAAAATTTGACTCCAATAGGCAATCAATGTATGTTGATATATATATATATATATATATATATATATATATATATATGTGTGTGTGTGTGTGTGCAATATGTACAATAGAGAACAGAGAGGAAGAGTGGGGTTGTCAGATTAACAAATATTACGTATTCTTCTTGAGAGAAACAAAAAGAGAGAAAAAGTTGGAAATTTTCTTGTGGTTGTCTTAGATCAAAAAGGCTCCGATCATTCAAAAGAACGAGAATCCATTTACAGAGAGAATAAAATATTATTTTGGTGGATAGTCTGTTCTTGTTTGTTCATATACTAATTTGACTGTTTTTATTGGGACGTTAATTTCACTAATTTAAATTTAAATTTTATTACAGTAAAATAATTTTAAAAATAATTATATTTAATTTTTTTATCACAATAAATATATAAAATTATATTTTAATTTAAATTAAAATTTTAAATTAACGAATTAAACGGATGCTTAATACACAAGGTGTCCACTCTCTTAGTGCAGTTAACCTTGAGAAATAGTCTGAAAGATATGTGTGGACGGGAACGTCAACCGATCGTGTGTGAGCGTCATCCCCAAATATCAAAAGTTGTGATTTCTAATTATGCAATTAATTTATATATAATTCAAGCCGGGCTATATTGTGGGAGACTTCCACTGCTAATATTTTGTGTGATGAAATAATTATTTTTATGAATAAAAATTTTATATTTCAATATTTTCATCGTACAACATAATGAAATTTTAAAATATTCCCTA